CTTCCGAAATGCTCCTAAAGGAGGCAGAACGTTCGGCAGTTGCGATGTAACAGATCTTGAGGGGTTTCAGCTCAGCTCCATCTCTGGTTTTACTGAGCTTGCCAGGGAAAGCAGACCAGATTCTGTACAATTTTGAGTCAGCAGAGAGCTCAGCCATAACGATCCATACCGACAGCCCATTACTTACACATTTATGACTATGTAATTCACAGTAGGTCATTCATAAGTGCATTATTTTACCAGGGATGTATACTGAAAAGTCAGGGAGATAACTTATGAGATGACAGAAGAAACTGCTCCCGTGCAGTTACACTGCTGTCACTTTCGTTTTTAACTGTAATTTAACCTATTTTTGGCTGTGTACAGACATTCTGAAGAGCATTTCTGGCTTGTTTTCCTCCGTGCTTACTCATGGCAAATTTGCAAAGAGTTTAAGACTAAATAGATGACAATCACAGCAAAACTGAAGAGGTTACTGATGCATGTGTAATTCTCCAGACCGCTTTTTGTTTCAAGATGTAATCTGAGGCAACAGATATTGCCTGTACAGAACAGTGGAGGCTGCTCAGGTCTTGCTGCGGTTAAGCAACATAACAAGGAGTTTATTGAGACAGAAGCGTGAAACAGAGAGGGAACAAAACCTGAATGCACCATTTGAATATTGTACTAGCTGCTCTTTGCATATAAGTAATATAGAAAAGTGTTCTGTTTGAGAAGGTAGATGTTAAAATACTCTCTTATTTTAAAAAAGTATATTTTTTGATGTTTGGGAAAGTATTTTGACAATTGTAGTCTTGTCTCAAATTAGCTTTTTTCAGGTGTCAAGAATCTCATAAAGAGAAATCTTATTTTCTTGTAGCATTTTGATTTCTCATAGGGGTTTTGTGCCAAGTAGTCTCATGTTGATAAGGCTGATTGGGGGAAAAAGTAAAAACTATGTTCCTTTTAAACTTTTAATTTAAATATTAAGAGTACAAAACAATTGCTGCTTCACTTTCACTCCATTGCTGCTCATTAATGTGTATTTAACATCCCTTCAGTGTTTTGTCCCAGAAGAACATGAGACTTGAGCTATCTAAAGTGCATGCAAGTCTTTTCCTTGCCTTCGCTGTGAGCTGCATCAGATCCCAACAGTTTAATCAGGACACAGGAGGCAAACAGCAGTTCCTAGATTATTCCCTCTTTTCCCAATGTCGTGATTTATTAAGGAATAAAGCTGGAAATCTGTTCAACCAGCATCTTCTACAACTTAAAGGTTGGGCTAGAAAAATACAGGAATCCAAATGCAGAATCAAGTTCTAGCATTACATTTCCCTTACATTGAGCACAGTGGCAGCTACAGCCAAATACCCAAATCCCCTGAGCACGGAGCCAGGTTCTCTGTGAGCACAAATTGACATTATATACTCAAATCAACAGAGCTTTGCTTGTTCATGCAAACTGAGCATCCAGGCTGTAACTTCAGGAAAAAAAAATCCCATATTTCCCTTTTCACTCAGTCTGAACAGCTTCAGAAAGACGTCAGCTGATGGTAGGAGCCTCCTCCTCTCCTCTCGTGGTAGCTTCTAGTGTCAGTGTTATTATGGAAGTGACAATTTACACCACCAAATAAGTGGTTGTTCACAAGAATTCTGCAGGAATTACTTTAGTGAAGGCAATGCAAGCAGTAATTCTGTAAGACAAGGTACAAGGGATGCTAGAGCGCTATTTCCCACCATATTATCTTGCACCTGCAGCCCTGCGCCCCCCAGGCAGCAATAGCTCAGGGACGTGCGTACTGTCACCTTCGTGCACCAACTGCAGCTCTTGGATAAAACATCCGAGGATGGGGAGGGGATTATGTACAAATCTGAGGATGGGGAGGGGATTATGTACAATTCTGAGGATGGGGAGAGGGTTACATACAGCACTGTGACAAACTCAGCCCCTGCGTACTGCACTGGATGTGAGGGGCTGTAAACTTTTCCCTCTGCATCCTGATCCCGAGCCCAGGGAAACGCCAGGAAACATTTCTCATTGCTTCTTCAGTCTAGAGATGAAGCTGGGCAAAGCCTGGTCCTACCACAGGCTGCTTACCCCCATCCGCCTCTACCTGGATGAATTTGGAGGACTCATTTCTGTGCAGGGTTGAGCACTTCCAGTCCTGATTTAAGAAATGCATGCAGACGTAGGGTGAGATTTAGTGTCTGATTATATTAATTTTCATTTCAAAAAGAGGGACACTAGATAGTTGGGTTAGGCTGTAGTCGACTAACCTTCATTTAAACCCAGAGCTGGAAATCAGTTTGCAGTGCTTCACAACTTAAAACATATTGAAATTCCCTAAGAAAACTGTTGTTTAGAAAGGGAGACTTAATAGGTTTGGGTTCTGGGTTTTGTTCTGTTTGTCTGTTGTTTTTTGTTTAAAAAGAGCCGAAGCATTTGAGGTATTATTTGAACCTTAACAGTACATGTGAAGTGATGGTGGTAGCACACATGCTTAAAATGGTGAGTGAATGAATGAAAATAAAGATTTAAGTAGTAAGTGCAATTGGTTGCGTACACTCTAAATCACTACTTACTTCTCACCACTTCCTCAAACACTTGTTCCCTGGGGAATATTCATGAACCATACACGTTACATGACAGAAAGCACACAGCCAGCTCCTTTCTATTACTTCACGTTCAAATGTATTTTCTGAAGTTTCTCTCTGTGGGCATCTCTTAAAACTTGATGTTATCAATGGATACTTCTTTTTTTTTCATTTTAAACCTGTTGTATCATTCTGTTTATTATGTTTTTTTAGTGTGAGCAGACCGTATTTATTTGAGAAAAATGTTCGCTGTTTAAAAAAACCAATAACTGTATTGCCAAAAATAGCTGTAATTACCTGTGACATCTGTATTTTTTTATTTTGGGGGGGGTCGGTTGGTTGTTTTTAATCTCAGTTTCAAGTGCTAACAACTGTTAAAACAACCACTGCATTTTAATTTGCTTATTACATTAAATGGATTTCTCAAAAGTCGGACAAAAACGTCTCGTAGATGATTTAATAACAATGCCACGCACCCACACCTTGCCCTTCCTATTTATATACACCTCTCAAGCACGTTTGACTTTGCTGGAGTCAATTTTCTGACACAGATCTTCAATGAAATGCCTCTTCTGGGAGGTCTGCACAGTTTTGGGGTGCACCCCAGCTGTATTTTCAGTGGCTCCAGCAAGACGTAGGCAGGAAAAACGCCTGCACTGGGACCTTGAACAGAAAGGGCGCCAGGGCTGTTCCTCAGTCTGGGTTGCAGCGCTGCCCTCACCACATCCCGTTCTGGATGCCCACCCGGATGGGGTGCAAGCCTCAGAAGCATCAAGGAGAAAGGGGAATGTGAGCTCCATTTTTCCTCCCTCCGCTAAAGCTGAATTTCATTTATCGGCCAGCAGATGGCACAAAACCACCTCAAGTCTGGTTTTCCTCCACGAGGACGGAGTTTCCCCACTGGGTTGGAGGCAGCTTCAGTGTCTCTACTGCTTGATGGCTTTTTTTCCCGTTATTTTACTGCCAGGCTTAGATGTGCGGAACTGGAAGCACAACTGGGCGGTTGCAGAGAAGTGGCAGAGGAGGATCTGCCAAAGCCTTTTTGGAAATCAGCACACGTGGCTACGAAACACGAAAAGAGGCTCTGCCTACAACAGGCTTGGGTAAATCTTGTGATGTTACTGGACACCATACACCCGGGAGACACAAAAAGCTCTGCTATGCCCCAGGTTGCTCCTGAGATAATCAGACCTGCAAGGGGACACAGGAAACCCAGATTCTGCCACCGGTCCTCTGGGACCTCCCCGGTGTAGTCATCCCTCACGCCGTGCTTCGGCGCTCAGCGAACCTTTCACAACCACCTCACCAATACCCTTCATTCCCTGGAGAGCCACAAACCACACGCAGCAAATCACCTTTCTCTCGCTATTTGTTTTGCCAAGATCCCTGCGAGCAGAGCAAAGCAAACCTCCCGTGCACGCAGCAGCACAAGATGCAGAGCAACACAAGGCTATTTTTCCAGGGTTTTAAACTGCACAGCTGGGTTTTCACAGAATCACAGAATCCCAGACCGTTAGGGATTGGAAGGGACCTCCAAAGCTCATCCAGTCCAATCCCCCTGCCGGAGCAGGAACACCCAGATGAGGTTGCACAGGAAGGCGTCCAGGCGGGGTTTGAATGTCTGCAGAGAAGGAGACTCCACAACCTCTCTGGGCAGCCTGTTCCAGTGCTCTGTCACCCTCACTGAGAAGAAGTTTCTTCTCCAATTGAAGTGGAACCTCCTGTGTTCCAGTTTGTGTCCGCTGCCCCTTGTCCTATCATTGTTTGTCACCGAGAAGAGCCTGGCTCCATCCTCGTGACACTCACCCTTTAAATATTTATAACCATGAATGAGGTCTCCCCTCAGTCTCCTCTTCTGCAAACTAAAGAGCCCCAGCTCCCTCAGCCGCTTCTCATACGGGAGATGCTCCACTCCCTTAATCATCTTTGTAGCCCTAAGCACCCTTGCCTTTTCAAGCACCCTTGCCAATTATTGCACTACGGCAGTGTCCACCAAATATGTTCTGCCTTCCTGGGTGCCTTCCTATTTTGGGGAATTAAATCCTGGGGTGCTCAGTGAGGCTACCCCAGGCCCGTGTTCCTCATAACCTTTACCTGCTTCCCCCCATGCGCATCTCTCCCCCGCAGAGATGCTGAGCAAGACAGAGTTGGAGGGGGTGCAAGGTGAAGTGCCCCCAGTCCTGTCGCCCACCAGCTCCATTTTAGGGACCTGTGAAGTCATTGGTTTCTCAGCAGTCGCCAACACATAGGAAACATGAGACAGGGAGGGAAGAGAGTGGAACAAGAGCGAGAAAGGAAGGGGGCAGAGACCCCAGCAGCCATGAAGTCATGGTAACTCTGCTCCCCCCGTGCTGAAAAGGCAGCGCTGCACAGCGGCCCCAGCAGAGAGAGGAAGTCAGCACAGGCTGCCTGCGCCCACACCGCAGCATGACTTTCACCGGGGTGCTACACGTCGCGGCTCTGTTCCTGATCCAAGGTAAGCCATACGCGTTGTCTTACACGATCTCCCCTTTGCAAGCAGTCCAGCTTTGGAGAACTCCATTTCCAGGCCTTCAGCACACCCTGCGCAAGGCAGCTTTGCTGTTGTTTTCCTGTTGACAATGCTGCATTGTCACCCAATTTCCAAAGCACACTGGTGCTGAATTTCAGCTGACTCCTAAACCCAGGAATGATGGGACCAATTCACCTCCTAGCAGCTGGCATGCTCAAGAGGGCAAAGCAAAAGATTCTGCTTTAAACTTGCACAGGGGATCATTGCTTGCTTTCCATTGCTTGGATACCTGTGTGTGCCTTTGTTCATTCATGCCTTGTGTCAAAAGTGGCAAATAGAAGACGTCAGAGTAATTTAGAAAGCCCTTGCAAAGTACTTCAAAATTGAAAAGCACTTTAAATACTCAATCTCCTTACTTCTGCTAGAGGATGTAGCTTATACTTAATGTGCTAATCTCCTTAATACACAGGAGAGCGTGAAAGATTTGTATTTGACCATGTCAAACAGGGAAAGATTTAAGTAAGGAAAGCTGCAGGACAGCTATCTACAAGCTTGGGATTCTTGCAGGCTTCGCTGCTGACCTTTGCAGGAGGAATGCACACGTGAGCCTGGAGCTGGCCGAAGCAATAGTCCTCTCATCTCCTACGTGATGAGTTTGGACCTGCTGACAACTGCTTGCTGCTCTTGGCCAGCAGAATTAATTCAGACTCCCACTTGCAGGTCTGCAGCCAGAGGTCAAAAATAACTCAAGAAACAGGATGTCTTTACAGGCTACAGTTTTAAAGATAACTGAAATGATGCACTGAGTGCACATTGCCGCAACAAGTTCTATGTGCGCCTTCTGATGGGTAAAATAATAGCAACCAGAGACATAAGCCATTCTGCTCAGTCGCATCCTGCAATTTCTAGCAAGAAATTGTTGTCCTTTCTTGCCAAGAAGCTGGATATATCACTGTACTTGGTGCCAGACTAATTTTTCCAGGTAGCTGGGCCACCTGGGATCCACACGGTACAACCACCGCTGTCCTCTGGAGCTGCCACCAGAGCATCTCCCACACTCCAGTGACTGAACTTTGGTGGGCTACAGTGGCTTGAAGGGCACAGCCACATCAAACTGCCCCCTGTATGGGGAAGGAAGTTTGACCTGTGAGTCATGGTCTGAATGCAGCCATGGTCTCTCATGGAAATTACATATCTGCCCTGTTCTGGGGGCTGCTTTTTTCCTGTTTTAGAAAAGCAACCAACACCCCCACCTTTCTCTGTGCGGTCTTGCTGCTTTCACCTCAAAAGGTGTGACTTGAAAGACCCCACACTGCTGTCAGTGACAGGAAACCAACACTACTAAGAAATGCAAAAGGGCCTGTGGAAAACCACAGCCAAGGCCCCCTCTGCTACCTTAACAACATGCACCTCAGACACAGGCCCCCACAATGGGACTCATGCAAGCTCCTCTGCAAATGACCCCACATGGCATAAACCCTGAGAAACCAGCTGAGACACTAGGAAATGAAATCACAAGGAAATACAAGCCAAAGGCACTGATGTGCCACATGCAATGGTAAATCAGTTACGGCCACTCTAAGCCCAACAGAGCTTCACCAGCGTACAGCGATTCAGTCAAACCCAGCCCGTGGTGTCTCCTGGCACCGTGCAGTAAGGACAGACAGCAGAGCTGTATTACACAGCTTCTCCTTGGCTAAAGCAGCATACATCATACTTACAAATTTGGAAGTAAAACTATTGAGATGTTAGAAAGACATCTCTTCTACAGGCTTATAGGGTCCAAAGCTCAGTTAGCAAAGAAAGATAAAAGGTCCGTGGTGTATTTGCTATTTGTGAAGTCCCAAGCTACATCAGTGACCATTTTTCCATGCCACCTCTGGCCCGGGAAATATTACATGTACTCAACTCAAGGGTGAGGCATGGGAACCAATCCCCATGGGAAACTACTATCTAAGAGGGAGACAAGTCCTTCCTCTGATGTTAGTGGAAAAGAGCAGGTCAAGCAAGAATGCCCTATGACAGCTTCATTTCTGGTATCTTTTAAAATGTCTTTTTGAGAAAACGAAAAGCTTTCCTGAAGCCCAGAAAGATTCACTTCCCCAAAACGCAGTGTTCATGTATGCAGTAGGAACTTGCAGCAGGCAGCTACCTGCAAAATAAAACACACAAAATGGGAATAAAAAATTAAACATTAACTGCCTCTTACTGCCTATTTACTTAACTCTGACCCAGGCAGCACTCTTAGTAATTTCTCCAGGGCATGTTTCTTTCTGAAGAAGGCGATTCATTCCAGGTCATCAAATATTTTCACAAAGTGTATTATATAGCTTAGAATGTCTGGAGAGAAAAGCACACTTTACTGCCTGTCTGTAAAATGAACTGGGTGGAGAGAAAATGAGATTTCATTTTAGTGGCCTGTGCCAAGCCAGGTTTGTGGATCCTGCCTGCCAAAGAAGTTTCAGAGCCAGTTCAAAGCAGCTGCAGCACTACACTTTCTGAATAAGAAAGCCTCGATTTTCAGCGGTGCTGATCACTGCTCAGTCGCACACACTTACAAATCAGGTTCAGCACCTCCAGAACGGAACATGTTTGTGTTAACATACAGGGAGAGCGTGCATTAAATGGGTCTGCTGTCAATTCTTCACTGACTCATGAGGAATAACGTTTAATAACTAAATCCGGTTGTGCTAGCAGGTGAAAATCATGAACCTTAGGTATGGATCTTACCTAGTGACTGTGACGACTTATCTAATGACTGTGATTTATTTGTATCAGTACAATCATGTTGGCAAGTTTCCTAATGTAGAAACACCTTTACACCCTTGAAAAAAGGAAAATCGATGTATTACTCAGTGCGAACCATTGTCACTTTACTTCACGTCACATCTTAATACTTGTTTTCCCCCCTCATCTCTGGCAGGGGATTTTCCAGGAGCTGGCAGTGAAACTGTAACTCTAAAGGAAGGAGAGGACCTAAATCTCCGCTGCAGCCTCAGCAGTGACGACGGCTCTGCCCGGCAGTGGTTAAACCCTCACGGCTTTGCCATTTTTCTGAACACCCAGCGGGGTAAGTGTGAAAACCGAAAGCATCACTTTCCACGTGGGGCTGGAGGGTGAGGGTCACTCGGCCGTGGGCTTTCCCGGCTCCCACCCGTGGCCAGTCTGACTCAGCCGCTACCCACCCGCTCGAGATGGTTTTACACTCAGCCCCTTGCTGGCAGGAAGCTGATGAAATGGAAAGCCCCACAAGAGTGGTCTGGCCCTAGAGCTGTTAGCAATGAAGTTACCACCAGCACCAAGAAATTAGGACAAAAACCCACTCCTGCCTTACAAGAGAGACAGGAGTGGACGTGCCTGAAAGCCCTGGGTACTCTTCTGCTCACTAAGGAATTCAATGTGGTGCATCAAGAGGGAATTTTTAGAAAACAAGCAGTGATTTCTAATACGTGCTGACAAAGTCACTATTACTGCGTTCCCTTCCCCTCCCTACACCTCGTGTCTCTCTGTCCTTCTCTCTCCTTTACCTGGTCCAAATTCAACAACTCTGCAAGATTTGGACTGCCTCATTTGTACAGTACCTCGTCAGCATCCCTGCTTGTTAATGCCCTTAGGCTTTAGTGATAATAATGACTGGGATTTATCCAAATGGAATTCTACAACTCAGTCCCAGGTGACAAGAGCAAGTGGGATAAGTGTTCATGAGCAATTTTAAATGACTCACACATGGATGTATGAGGAACTGTTTCCTGTGGAATCCAGGATTCCAAATTCAGTACCTAGTATAATGGATATGAAATATTAAATTTAAATGGGATGGAGGTAGGTGAGAGTAGCAAGAATCCCTTCATTTATGCAAGGTTTAAAGCCACAAACACTCTCTTTCTATGCAAACAATTTTGGACTGAGACCCTTTATTCTGCCCTTACCCACTTTTAGACGTCTCCATCTTTTAATGGCTCTAGTCCTTTTGGTGCTTCAAGTTTTGCTGAGCTGACACAGCAATTTACTAAGGCTTGGGAAAGAACAGATCCACTGGTATCTATAGGATCAGACTCTAACTCAAGTGAACAAAACAGTATCTGCCTTAAATCACCCGTGGATTCAACCCATAGTTTCAACATCCCGGTATCATCCTTCAGTAAGGCACATGATCTACCACCCACAAGGACTAGATTTTGCAAAGCATTTGGATCCTTGATAAGTCAGACACACTGAATATTTTCCTTTTGCAATACAAAAGAGAACAGTCCTCATTTAGAGAGAAACCGAATTTTACACTGGCAACAGCCATTTTCATGTTTTATTCTGAATCACCACTGTGAATCTGTCACATTGCTTCTCCAATAAACCACTTCATGAATCGGTTCCCTCCAGTCTTATTGTAGCTAAAAATCTGACAACTAGCTGCAAGTCTTACAACATGGTGATTTCAAAGTCGTTTAGTATTTAATCACTTCCATAAATTATAGTACTGCTGTGATTTTCTCCCAACTCTGTATTCTTACGAGACCTCAGCTGAAAAAAAACCTAACATACAGTTTTTGAGCTCTTTTTCTCCCTAATTACTGGTACAAGTGCTTAGTTTCAGTTCAATTTAAGGGCAGAAAGTTACACTTTCTGTGCTGCGGTTGCGGGAAATGTCCACGTGACTTGCTGGCCTGACCCCAAGGACTCCCATGTGCCATCCAGGAGGGGGAATGAAGCAAAGACTGTAAAGCCAAGAGAGAGAAACGGGATGGTACAGCAGAGTACAGATAGCCTAGGAGATGGTCTCATTAAAATCAGGGTAATTAGCGATGGGTAGGAGAAACAAACCAGCCAATTAATAAGCAGTTGATAAAGAGGTGTGTGCTGACCACAGTGTTCATTTACATATCACAAAGCACACCCAAAGAGGAGAAGTTATTTTTTCAAGGCCAAATAAAGGCTTGGGGAATGGGGAAGGGAAAGGTCCTCAGTTCATGCATCTATGCTTTAATATTCAAAGGTTACTATTACTTATGTCCTCACAGCCCAATGTTTGCTTATGTTTATCCATCTAGACGCTTAAAGAACCCAAATTGCTATAATACCTGGGAACACAGGAATAAGAGCTCCAGAAAAGAAAAGCAAGAAAAAAACCATGTCATTTTCCTCACTGGCAGCTCATGCACCCCCTTCTTCAGCCTCCTGCTGCCTCTGTAGTAGCGCGGCACCAGCTGGGAATGCGTCGTGCTAGAACTGCTCCCTTACGTTTTAAAAATGCAATACAGAAACCTATCCTCATTCATGACTGCTTTGATTATCTGTCTTCCTCTCATGTACCGACACGCATAGCAAGCTGGGTTTTATTTTCCTTACAGCTTTAAGAGATCAGAGGTACCAACTTCTCCATTATTCAAAGGATGAATTATCCATCCAACTGTCTAACGTCACAGTGCACGATGAAGGCGTATATAGATGCTTCTACTACGGCATCCCTTTCAAAAGCATGAACAAGACTGTTGAGGTATTAGGTAAGTTTCCTCACCTGCAACAAAGCCAGTTCCTCAACTCCAAACCTGCATTTGTGCATGCAATTTTACAGTGCTTAACACAACATAATCCTGGTTTTAGCTCAGTCCCCCCAGCAGCCATTCATAAAACCGAGTAGAAAGATGGACTGCAACTGATTCTAAATCTTATTGCTGCAGCTGCTCCTTCTGATCCAGTACTGAAAGTATCCAGAGACACAGAAAGAAGCATTGCACTGTCTTGCTGTACCCGAGGAGGTAAACCACAGCCCCACATTACCTGGCTGCTGGACAACGGGGTAGAGCTCCCTGGTAAGTGCTAAAAGGCCAGGGATTTATTACGAACAATTTCTTCTTTGGGTACATTTAACAATGTTGGAGGGTGAACCACATTCTGCAACACATCAGCTGGGACTACCACGCGTTTAGTACAACTTGGCGCACTGGTGCAGGTCTGGAGAAAAGTCAGTGCTAAATTCCAGCGTTTGTGCAAGGGAAGGTTTGCTCACATTCAATACAGAACAGCACCACTTGGCACCAAAATCCCCTGCGAGTCTGGAGTGAAATTCCACTGAAACAAAATGAAACACAAACTCTGGAGACACAGTTCTGAAAGCCCCCGTATAAAGTCAGTTAAGAAATCCATTATAACTATTTCCATGCTGGCAGACAGCTTTTCCTCAGCTTTGAGAGCTGTTCACACACACAGCAGCCGCCTTTCTCTCTCATTAATCTGGTCAGAGCCAAGCAGCTCACCAGCAAAAGCAAAAAAGCTCAGTAAACACATCCCACAGCACCCTGTGAAGCTCTCCTCTGGGCAGACACACGTGAGGAGGAACTGAGCCACCACAGAGCTCAATTTAATGTGTACTATATAAATAGCTGCTTTGAAGGCTGTGTTCTAACAATAAACACCATATTAGCTGTAACTGTACTTGGTAGTGGAAACCTACATCTGTATCAAAGTGTGAGGCAAATACCCACAAATGCAAATGTGTTTTCTTTCGCATACCAACAAGCTCTTATTTGCAATTTGCATCATTAAAAAACAAATTCAAAGCTTAACCTCTAATCCCTCCACCCCCAGGTGGCTTTTTTTTAACTAAGAGCTCTAGAAAACAACAGAGAAATGTGCTGGCCTGGATACTGCTAGAAATAAAGACCATAGGCAAAAATCCAGGTACATAGGTATTAATACAACAACGTAAAGCCCCACACTTGAAGGGCTTAGAAAAGCAGCATCTAAAATCCTACGTGTTTGGGAAGAGCTGGGCTGTGTGTGACTGTAAGGGCTTGGGGCAATACCAGCTATGAAGTTATAAAGCACTCAAGGAAGCAATATATCACCTCTGAGTTTTTATATGCATTTTTCCCAGTGCTCTTCAAAAAACAGGGAGTTCCTTAAACTTGAAACCACCTCAGTTCTGGCCTGATAAAGCGCATTACTTGCAACCTCACAACACAGAACTTGGGCACCGAACACCTCCCACAGCACATAAAACCAACCACACCTTTCTCCACTTACTATAACAACGAAAAAAATACCCTTAAAATGATTAAAAAATGACATTTACCTTTCTCTCCTCCTCGCCATTGTAGCACCAGCCCCTTTCAGCCAGCAGAGCCAGGCCTAGCAGTGAGCATGACCCAGCCTTCCAAACCACCACCACCACCTGGGCACGCAATCAGCACGCCGGGGCCTGTGCGGGGCCTGTGCGGGGCCTGTGCGGGGCCTGCTGGGCTCAGCTGTGGCTGGTTTGCTGAGGGACTATTTGCTCAAAAACTGCACATTTCACCGTGTGGCCTGCATAGGGCACACACTAAAATGTTGAAAGGGAAAAAATAACTCTGCTGATTCAGTGTTTCTCACACTTTTCCCTTTTTGCAGATGACTAACACTCCCACCACCCCCTTCCATTCTCAGCTTTAATCAAATACTGCAAATATTTGTACTAATCAGAAAATAGCTAATAAGTCTTAATTACTGGCAGCACCTCAGTTCCACCAGGGCTCAGCAGGGGCAAACTAGCTGTAATTACTGAGCTGTTGCTGAAAAATTAAATATTATTTCTTTTCTAGCAAAAACATTTTGAAAGCCTTTTGAGCTCTTGAATGACCCTGCTGGGGATGGGAAAAGAGAGTTGAGAAATCCTGGTCTATGTCATACAGCAGGTTATTTGTAAAGGCTAATTTGGAAACAAGGATTTTCTGTCATTTAAGAGATTAGGATCTTACCAAGGGTAACAGATCAAGAGAAAGCAGCAGTTTGTTTCCAGAGAACCTCTACTTTAGAGACAGATGGTAGAGGTTATTGTGCCACTATGGGCATTTAAGGTAAACATCTTTAAAAAACCTCTTTCTCCACTAGAGCTAGTCAAACCCGTCTCTTTCTGTCACATTAAATACATCTTTATTATTCCATATCATATAAATGAGTAGAAGTCAGTATTACTTAGAGGACTAGGAACTACATCTGACAGGTTACATGGTGCTCTCTAATTCATTACACCAAGGCAATGAATCTTTGTCTTTAACTTCCCTCCATTGCAAGAGTTAGATAGTCAAACCTGCATTGCAGGGATAGTGGAGAACTTGTACAGGATTTAATAGAGTTGTACCAATGTTTGTTTATTACAAATTTAAATACTGCATATCAATACAAATTTAACAACTTCCTTTTATGCTTGGGGTAACAAGTCCACACCTATTGAGACACAAAATCAGTACCCTTGGATCACCACATAGCACAATCAGAACTTTTTTTAGATGTCGGTTGCGCTGCAAAACAGCAAGTCCTTGCTCCGAGGCTGCCCGCTTTGGGCCCTGCATGGCTGTGGCACACAGCAAAGCAATTTATTCCATTCAGTAAGGACCAGAAGTGCTGGTGGGTGTCTGGACATTTCCCCCTAGTGCTGCAGGGAAATTTCCCAAGTGAGTCATGAAACAGCGGGTGCTTTGGGTTGAGCACAGGAGGTGCAGCGAGGTCTGCACTTAGACAACTGCCAAGGAAGAAAACATGACCTTGCTGCCTTTGGGCTCCCATGTAATCCATTTACACAATGAACCACTTGTGCACAGTAATCATGTGCTGCTTTAGCACAGCAAAGTAATGCAGATTGTGCCTGGAAGGTTTTTCATTAAATTGCTCTTGACTAGAAAGCACTTAAATGTTTTCTTCCGATGGGTGTATAGGTGACACTAAGCACAAGTTAGAAGCTGATGGGAAGAAATGGACCACAACCAGCACGCTGACAGTCCTCGCCTATGGGCCCAATTCAACAGCCAGCTGCCTCGTGCACCACCAAGCACTAGGAGAAGAGAAGCTGATGGCGTCTTTCCAGTTTGAGGACCTCCAGAGGACAGGTACTGCAGGCCTCTTCAGCAGCGGCGATCCCATTTTACCACTCTGAGGTAGTGAATGTTATGCAGATACACAGGTAAAGCTGAAGCCCATAGTCTACTGCCCCATGTGTGGAATCTGGTTTTAAATGAGAAGGCTACCTGGGGCAAAAGAAGAACTCCAAACTCACATTTGGGGCCTTTTTCTGTTTCTTAACACCTTAAAATCCATTAAACATTAAGCCACAGCAGCCCAGGCAGGTCAGTTCCCCAATGCTCCTGCTAGAGCTCAGGTGATATTTGGCCTAAAACTTTAAAGATAATTCAAAGTTTATGTTCTCAAAAAGCTGTGAGCTTCCCATGTCTTCTGCACATTAGGCACATCCACCTGGAAAGCTAGCAGGGTGTAAATGTTGTAAATTAACACTGAAGCTGTTTGTCTAATAATAATACACATGCTTCTGAGAACAAGCAATCTACAGGTAGGCATTAATTGCTTGGCCTTTTTTTAATTAATGCACAGGTCAGATAAACACAGCATTTATTATAGAAAGTATGTAGCGCTTTTACCTAGAGCTAGGGCTGAAAGGAGCAGTTACCATCAGTACTGGGGCATATTTTGCTGGCCCGTCAGAACCGCTGTGTTTTTTTCCCCAGTGACCACTGCAGTGTCATACCTAAACAGCAGCACAGCCTCTGCTCCAAGCTACCCACAGCATACGGGTAAGGGTTTCACTTTCATTTTATTCCTCGTTTCATAGCATTAAATATATTCATAGACAGGGAAGCTGAAGGTGGGAGGGTAGGACTGTAAGTCTAACCACAGATCTGATAGAGCACACAGGCAGTCTGGAGCATGGAGCATACACAGCAGATTTTGGTTTTCGAGGAGCAGTTCAATGGCGAAGTGTATCTTCTGATTTTTCTCTTGTGTTTGGGGGGGTTTCCTTTAGGATCTGAACGACCAACTGTCCCTTCTGCAGTACCAGAGGATCCAGTAGTTACCAGCTCAGCATCAACACCAACCCAGCAAAACCTCCAACCAGATGTCACATCTACTTGTAAGTTTGGTCTTAGTTACGTGAATTTACCAAACCAGGACAGAAATGCTACAGAGAACAGCACTGAATTCCACATTACAAACAAGTGCATAACATAAAACACCACATTTCTTGCTTGTGCAAGGAACCCTCAGCTTTACAGCCATGAAAGCGAAGTCTCTCTTCAGATGCAGAAGATCAGCATTAGCAGCAGCAGCCAGACCGGTCCCTGTCACAGCCCGGTGTGAGCCCAGGCTGAGGTTTCTCTGGACGGCTGCACTAGGTGGCACTGTGCAACAACGGTTATTTGTGCACATAGGGCTGCAGGTTGCAGTTACTGAACTGAGGAGTTGTTTCCAGCGGAATTAAAAGCTCCAGTGCCCAAATCGGTTGGCCAAAATCCACCAGGGTGGGCGCATGCACCTCCTAGTGTGACAGGCCCTGCAGTGAAAGATCAATTGTTTGTCTTAGAAATACAGGAACTCTTTGTTTGTGTTTGCTTAAAAGCGCTACATCAGTGATTGCAAACATCTCAGAATGGCTACATCTTGATAAACAATTCCTACATATGTTTACAAACATACATGGAGAGGGAGCTTGAATCTTTAACAGGACTTTCACTAGGTGTGCTTACATACCTGATAAGGAAGAAAATCTCTTATGAATGTAAAGTTTTGGTAGACACAGCATGCATTATCATTTTAGTTCTGCAAGTCAAAATTAATTATACAAGGTTGTATTGTCTGTGTGCATAAGAAAGTCAGAGCTCACCTCTCTGTTTGTGCAGGGTCTGAAGCAACGCCAGCTGCAGCAGGAAAGGAAGAATTTACTGGTTCATCGGGTTATCATGTCCCCAGTGGTAAGATCTTGCGTCTTCAGACATGAGTGGCAGTGACAAAGAACGGGGATTCTCACACTGGGTGAACTGTGAGCTATAAAGGCAATAAAAGAATAGTCAGGGATATGAATGCCAAAAATATGTCTGCTTTATGAAAAAGGTTGCATGCTCATTTCTGGTTTTGCAAGCAAGAGAAGCAAACTGGTGAACAGAGAAAGCCCCCAAATGACCAAAGATTCAAAGCTCAGCTTTGTTTTAATTTGGCAGTAAATGGGAACCACCGAGTTCAACAATGTGTAAGAGACTGTGACAATTTTCTTTTCATAAAAATCTTTGGATTAAAATGAAATACAGTGTTAAGGAAGTGAGCACAGAGCTTTAAGTCAAGGGCTCCAGAAGTCCCTTTCTGCTGCAGTACCAGGTGCCCTGCTAAGGAAATACATATTTCTTACGCATCCCTTTGCTCTTCAGAGAAATAATGTTCTCCTTTCCTTTCCTTCAGGGACTGAAACAGCATTCAGTGGCAATGTCACAGAACAGGAACTTTCCAGGACAGAAGCCTCACAACCAAGTGAAAATATAACTGTGATTCCTACCATCGCCTTTGGTACGAACTCTTTTACACCAAGCTGGTTCTCTCTGACCATGTATCCACCTCCAAACCTTTTGTCAGTACACTAGGGTCATGCTGGCTTGCAATCTTGAGGAGAGACCACAAAACCCAACCATTTTTATCCTCTAGAAAAAAGCTAAATTTTACTGTTTGTTGTGCCAGAGCACGAGTCCACTGATTTCAGTCAGTTTTTCTTGTTCATTCAAGAAGACAAAAATTGACCTTACATCCTAAAATTAAGTCCAATAGGGTGACTTCTGCTCTCCCACCATGTTCATCTAGCCTGGTCCAGGATATATTGTTCTTGTCTTAATGACCAGAGACTCACAGGAAGCTACTTAACAACACAAACATACGCCTGACTCTTTTACAGATCAAGATCTGAAATTTGAAGGCATCAAAAAGAGGAAGAATAATCTCTTGCTGCCAATCTTGGTGGCTGCTCTGATTTTCGTGCTGCTCATCATTGTCCTGCTTTTTATGATGAAGCTGAAAAAAGCTCATGGAGTGTGGAAAAGAGGTAGGTGATGGCCCTGTCCGAGCAACTGCTGACACTGCTTTATTCAGAGGGGCTGGAGAGCTGAGGTGCCTGGTAAGCAGGGACAAGACATGGCTCCTCCAGCCACCCATTAAATGTCCTTCTCCCACAGACAGTGACCGTGACTTGCTGCAAACAACTGTTGAAGCGTTCCTATAACTGATGGCCTCAGGCCACGCTTCAGCAGACGTGAGGTGCCACAAAAGCCAACAGAATTGCTGTCTTAAGCATATTTCTTAGATGGTCAGGATGATTGAGCCCCCATTTTATAACTAGTCTCTCAGGATTTTTATGCTGAAGGGAAAGA